CATGCAGAGTAGAATGTTGATGAACGAGTCGGCGGAGCAGATGCCCGTCTTGACCCAGACTGTGATAAGTAGCATGTGTTAGCATCGCATCCATCGTGAGACGAGGTCGCGAGGCAGGCAGCGGAAATGTGAATATGACGAGGGCGGGGTACGAACCAGGCAGCGGCGGGAAGAGAATAGCCAAGAGGCCGAGGAAGATGTCAACAGAGCACATGGCGAGTTGCTCGGCTGGTTTAGGTGGATAAAATGATCGAAGAGAGAATAAGGGCGTTATGTTTCTATTTGCGCAATACAGGAGACGGAAGGAGTCGTGGTTTGAGATTTAGGTATGTGGTCGAGGTTCGCCGTTCGAGGTTTCAGGGTCAAGGTTCAAGGTTAAAGGGTGGATGGATGATGGAGTGACGGCAGTGAGGTGATCCAAACGAGAGTCACGCAGCACTCAGGCTCGCTGTCAGTGGTCAGATTGTGGACTTGGGTGGCTGCGTCAGGGGAGCTTGCGTAATGCGCATCAAACTTGGCCGGAGGCATCCACTGGCACCCAGACGCCTGGCCCGTTTGGGACTAACTCCCAGCTGAAAGACGGGGGATCGGCAGCCCTACGTCAACGGTCGGCTTACGGGTTAGTATCAGGTATACACATACAAACCTCCCGGTGGCAGCCGGAGCTGAGTTGAAACGGTACGGTTACAATACCTCCACTACCGTACAGTACGTTCGTGGTGATTCATTGGCAGAGCAAGCAGGACGCAGGCAAAACACGAAGTCGTCAACACATCAGCACTATCGCCATACAAAAAAAACTTGCCGAGTCGAACTATGGAACTTTTAACCGGCCCCTATCTCCCATGAAATCAGTGTACTGAGGGATTACACTGTTCCAACCTGGGTAATACAGCCTGCAACCACACAGGAATATCGTAGTGTACCGAATGAAAAACTCTCTGTCGCCTCAGGAGCACAGACCACTGTCCTGTTAGCCACCGGCACCGTTGATTTATCAGGGCTAGCTGTCGGTTAAGCCATGCATGACAAGACGGCTTCCTCAAAAGTTCCAGGCCAGGCGCATCCTCCTCCCCACATCCGATCTTCAACCTTGCGCTCGCCAACGTCGCCCCGACCGACAGCATGGACGACCTCGAGTCCCTTGAGCTGCTTTCGCTCGTGTCGAAAGTCACGTCGGAATTGCAGAACCATCTGGGCGTCAGCGAAAAAACGCTGGCCGAGTTCGTCATCGCCCAGCGCCTCGAATGCGCGTCCCTATCCGAGTTCCGCGAGAAGCTGGCCGCCGTCGGCGCCGACTTCCCCCCCAGTCTGGTCGACAGCGTTGACAGGCTGGTGCTGGCCATGCACCCCAAGTTCAAGGGCCACCAGCAGAATGGAGCCAGCCACCAGCACGACGGCGAGAGACCGGGCCGGTCGACCGAGGAGAAGAGCAAGGTGTTCAAGGGCTTGTCGATCCCCGACAAGGAGACAGACGCGATCGACGACACGCTGGCGTTACTCGAGAGCCTAGAGCCGAAGCGAGCCGTCACAGACCGCCCGTCGCGGAAGCGAAGCAGGACCCCCGACGACCACAGAGACGAGCAGAAGCGGAAGCGCAAGGACAAATACCGATCGCGGTCGAGATCGCCGCCCAGGTCAATATCGCCACCCCGGGGACGGCGGAAGAACGGCCGCTACGACGACGATGATGCCATGTTCCGGCGGCCTCCACCACGCGAGGTCGACGACGGACCGATTCTTTTCAAGATATACGAGGGCCACGTCACGGGCATCAAGGATTTTGGTGCCTTTGTGAACATCCACGGTGTAAGGGGCAAGGTCGACGGACTGGTGCATGTCTCGGCCTTTGGCGAGCGCGTCAACCACCCCTCCGATCTGCTCTCCAAGGGCCAGGAGGTCAAGGTCAAGGTGATCAAAATCGAGGGCACCAAGATCGGTCTGTCGATGAAAGATGTCGACCAGGAGACAGGAATGGACCTGGCACCGCAACTAAGGATAGGCTCGGGTGCCAACTCGGAGGCACTGGGCGGCGGCGCGAGAGGCGATGGGGGCGACTCCGGGGCAAAGGAGGTGGATAACCACGGTATATTCCAAGCACTCGCGGCAGCCAGACAACAACAAAAGAAGAGAATGACCTCGCCCGAGAGATGGGAAATCCGACAAATGATTGCTGCAGGCGTGGTGAAGGCGTCTGACTATCCAGATCTCGAGGAAGACTACAACGCAGCGCTGAGGGGCGAGGGCAAGATGGATCTGGAGGAGGAGGTTGATATCGAGGTCCGCGACGAAGAGCCGCCATTCCTCGCTGGTCAAACCAAGCAGTCGCTCGAGCTGTCACCCATCCGAGTCGTCAAGGCACCCGATGGCTCGCTCAATCGCGCTGCTATGGCCGGAACCAATTTGGCCAAGGAGAGAAAAGAACTGCGACAACAAGAGGCGGAGGCAAAGGAGGACGAAACAAAGGTCGACCTGTCGTCGCAGTGGAATGACCCGATGGCCAACCCAGAACACAGGCAGTTTGCGAGCGACCTTCGCAAGGGAGCCCAGTCAGCAAAGGCCAACCCTGACATTGTCCCTGAATGGAGGAGAGTGCTTGCGCCCAAGGATCAGTCTCTCGGCAAGCGCACCAACATGACCATCAAGCAGCAACGCGAATCTCTACCCGTGTTCGCCTTCAGGGACCAGCTGATCAAGGCTATCAGGGAAAACCAGATCATGATCGTGGTCGGCGAGACAGGTTCGGGCAAGACCACACAACTCACACAGTACCTTGCCGAGGCCGGATTCACGAACCACGGCATCATTGGATGCACACAGCCCCGCCGTGTTGCTGCTGTCTCGGTTGCAAAGCGTGTATCGGAAGAAGTCGGATGCCAGCTTGGCCAGGAAGTTGGCTATACCATCAGATTCGAAGACTGCACCAGTCCGGCAACCAAGATCAAGTACATGACAGACGGCATGTTGCAACGAGAGATCCTGATTGATCCCGAGCTCAAGCGATATTCCGTCATCATGCTTGACGAGGCCCATGAGAGGACTATCGCCACCGACGTCCTCTTTGCGCTCTTGAAGAAGACGTTGAAGGTGAGGGAGGATCTCAAAGTCATTGTCACGAGTGCCACTCTGGATGCCGACAAGTTCAGCGAGTACTTCAACGCGTGCCCTATCTTCACGATTCCCGGCCGAACTTTCCCTGTCGAGATGCTCTATTCCCGTGAGCCGGAATCGGACTACCTCGATGCGGCCTTGACAACCGTGATGCAGATCCACCTCAGCGAGCCCATGGGTGACATCCTGCTTTTCCTGACTGGCCAGGAAGAGATCGACACCAGTTGCGAGATTCTATACGAGCGGATGAAGGCGTTGGGTCCCAATGTGCCAGAACTCCTGATTCTTCCCGTGTACTCTGCACTCCCCAGCGAGATGCAGAGTAAAATCTTCGACCCGGCACCGCCAGGCAGCCGCAAGGTGGTCATTGCCACCAACATTGCGGAAACCTCAATCACGATTGATCATATTTATTATGTCATCGATCCTGGCTTCGTCAAGCAAAACGCCTACGACCCGAAGCTTGGCATGGACTCGTTGGTTGTCACACCTATCTCTCAAGCCCAAGCAAACCAACGAGCCGGTCGCGCCGGTCGAACTGGCCCCGGAAAGTGTTTCCGGTTGTACACTGAAGCTGCTTTCCAGTCCGAGATGCTCCCGACAACAATACCCGAAATTCAACGCCAGAATCTGTCCAACACCATTCTCATGCTGAAGGCCATGGGCATCAACGACCTGCTCCGCTTCGACTTCATGGACCCGCCACCCGTCAATACTATGCTTACAGCCCTCGAAGAGCTGTATGCGCTGGGTGCGCTAGACGACGAAGGCCTGTTGACGCGCCTGGGGAGGAAGATGGCCGACTTTCCGATGGAGCCTTCGCTTGCAAAGGTGCTCATCGCCTCGGTGGAGAAGGGTTGCTCTGACGAGATGGTCACCATCGTTGCCATGCTCAATCTTCCCAACGTCTTCTACCGGCCGAAGGAAAAGCAAACGCAGGCCGACCAGAAGAAGGCAAAGTTCCACGACCCGAACGGCGACCACCTCACGCTTCTCAACGTGTACAACTCGTGGAAGAGGAACGCGTACTCGAACCCGTGGTGCTTCGAGAACTTTATCCAAGCCCGCTCCATGAAGCGAGCCAAGGATGTCCGGGACCAGATCGTCAAGATCATGGAGCGACATCGTCATCCCATCGTCAGTTGCGGGCGCGACACCAAGCTGGTCCGCCAGGCCCTCTGCAGCGGCTTCTTCCGCAACACAGCACGCAAAGACCCACAGGAAGGATACAAGACGCTCATCGAAGGGACCCTGGTGTATCTGCATCCCAGCTCGGCGTTGTTCGGCAAGCAGGCCGAGTGGGTGGTATATCACACCTTGGTGCTGACGACGCGCGAGTACATGCACTGCACGACCAGCATTGAGCCGAAATGGCTGGTCGAGGCTGCACCCACCTTCTTCAAGGTCGCGCCGACGGACAAGCTGTCCAAGCGGAAGAAGGCAGAACGCATCGTGCCGCTGTATAACAAGTACGCGGGCGAGGATGACTGGCGCCTCAGCGCCCAGAGGAGGGCCGGGAGATCTGGAGGCGGCGGCGGAACTTGGGGCTGAGCATGTGTGTTGATTTTTATGTATTGTATTTATCTACGATAGGTACTCTATTAGCTGCAGCGTCCGGCTGGTGATTACTACTTAGTGTCCTGAATCAAGGTTCCGGCAGCCCATTTTTGAATCATTATCTTTCCCTCTTCCAGCTGCGCTTGATAATTCATAGATTGTTGCTGCGGTTGCGATGCTCGATGATACCAATTACTACTTTTATTCATGCGCACCGAGGCAGACATCGCGGCCTTTATTGGCATCGAGGGCTGCATCACCTACGCTCAGTCCTGTCACCATCCCGAGGGTTTATGAAAGAGGTTTTCCGTCCCAGGTTAGCATAAACAGTTGGCGGTGTAGTATAGTGGTCAGTACATGCCGTGACAGTGCACCGGACACCCTTACTCTAACAAAGTAAGAGATGTGAACCCCACTCGATGACAATGTCCTAGTTCAAGTCCAGGCGCCGCCAACAACGGGCCCGTTTCTCTTTTTTTCTTCTTTTATCTTTTTTTGCACTCTTCTTGCGTCTAGACCGCGCCATGTCGCCGAGGCGGAACTACAACGACCCTAACCCCGACAAGAAGGGAACCTTCAATTCCAAGCTTGGGTGGCTATTTTCTTGAGCAGGTACGATTTGTGTATATTTGACGCTAGCTTTTTCGATGTAATAAAAGGAGGTTAAAAGTCGCTAGGTAAGCAAGCCCTTTTGATTTGGTGAGAATTTGATGCCTGGCGAGACTGTCAAAATGAAACTAATTAGACCTTGCGTCACGTTTTCTTCTCGAATGCATATATAAGGCGTTGGAAAACGATGGGCGTGTTTGTGGGCACGCGGCAACTACTTACAACGAGCACCGGACGGGCAAAGGGCGCATAGGGTGGTGTACAGTGCTAGGGAAGCGAGGCTGATCTGAGACGATGAATTTATTTGTAGTTGGGCTCGTGAGTGGGTGTGGTATGTTGAGTTGTGGGCGACGAGACAATGTCATCCTAGGTACCTAGGTAGGTAATTATTAAGGTCTCTTTGCGTACCTTATGTCTCGTCGAAAATCATAAGCGGTAACCCGTAATCATGTACACGTAACCTACCCACGCATACAAGTAACGGTCCCGCGGTTAGGAGATGATTGTTACAAACGCTAACACTTGATGTCTGAATGTGCTGCGAACCAAGCTATTTACAAACAAATTCGGTGGCACAACTACCTGGTAGTAGAAAGTGACCAATAAAGATCCAATCAAAACAAACAACAAGATCAGCGTACAAATATCAAGTAATTAGTGTGATACCTGGACGTTTGGGAGGACTTGTCTTGTTGTTGAACCGACAATGCGCCATTGTGCCATCATCGTCCCATTATGGCGCAGTCTTTGACGCAGATTTTGGCTTTGGCAGCAAGTGACCGACCTTCGCTTTCAGACTCATCATCTGCTTCTTCATTTTCTCAGTCAGACCGCGCTGGCCATCTATCTCCAGCAAGACTTTCAGCCCAGTCAGTCTACGTTTGTCCTTGTCCGAGACTTTGGGGGCCATCTCTATGATGAGCTTCGCACGCACAGCTTGCTTGTATGCATCGACTCGTTTGAGAGTTTTGTCTGCAAGCTTCTGGCCGATGGGTTGAAATTGGAGAGCGCCACCGCCGACTGTCAAGAGGCTGCTAGTGCTTGCGCGAGTCGTTCGCGCCGTCCGGCTGGTCGTGTCGGCCGTGCGGAATGGGACGACATCGTGGCCGTGGCCTGGAAGGTGGTGGACTTCCAGCTTGGCGCCGAGGCTCTTGAGCTTCCTGGCGTGCTCGATCCGTGTGATGACCAGGTTGAGTTCTTCGCAGATCGCCGCCAGCTCTCCCCAGCCGCTGGAGAACATCTTTGTCGACCGGAAATGCAAACGCAACCCACTCGCCCGCCTCGCGATAGACGGTCGCGTATGCGCCGGGGACGCCGCGATGGCTTGAATCGTGGCAATGAAACGAGCCGTCTCCGAATAGGGCCATTGGGTATAGGCTGTCGTCTCTCGTCTCTTCGAGCGCCGCGATGGCTTTGGAAAATTTGACTGTGTCCTCTTTAGCGCGGTGGAAAAACGTGCCCCCGAACTTCAGGTCTTCCTCCTCCTCGTCGTCCCAAATATCGATGGGACTCGGCTCATCTGGTCCTTCCTTGGCCCCCTCACACTGTGCTTGCCCGGGGGTCCAGCCGGGCAGGTTGTCCTCGGGCTTTTTCTCGTCTTCGGCGACGTTGCTCGATGCGGATGTTGGCGGGACACTGGGCGGGGGCGTGGTCGGTGCAGCTTCACCAGATGACGAGGCCGGCCTGGGCTTTTTCTGGGCTGGTTCGGGCTGGCACTCGCCATCGGTAGTGGCCTCTGGCCGTTGTCGTTTCTTGCTCACCCCTTGCGGGGGGTCGGGCTGGGTCACTGCGGCGCGTACAACGGTCAGCAAGACGGAACTAAAAGTCAAGTGGCCGACCGGTCAGTCGCGTAGGAGCGAGCGCGTAGTATTGTGCGGCGGCTCTAGATCTCTCGATGCGAAATATCCAAATCTGGAGCCAAAAGAATCATAGCCATAGTTGGGACGATGGACTTACTGGTTGACGTGGAATCCAGCGGCAAGTGACGCATATTGGGCTGCGGTGAGTCTTTGTTGGTTTGGTGAGCAGAAATCGAATTCGACCGTGAAGACCGAGAGGAGGGGTTAAACTGGCAGAAAGCAGTCAGGGCGGTGGGGAAATCTGGATCGGAAGCTCTGAGGTTGAACTGGTAACTCACTTTTCACTTCAGAAGCTGATATTAACACTGTCCATTCTCACTGAGGGCTTTTGTGTCTGCAAACGGCCGGACATGGCATCTAATACGAAGAGAAGAGATACAAGCGCTGGATAGTAATAGGCATTGCATCTACGGGAGTTCCACCGAGGTCTAACTATCACGCTCTCCCCCCCCCCCCATTTTCTTTTCCCCCTTTTTGCTCGCTGCCTTTATCTCGACCCACACCATCGGCTCCGACTGACCGAGACAACATACAGCAGTAGACATAGTCTCTCAAGATTATAGCTCAGATATATCCAACAATAGTGTCAGAAGGTGCATTGGAAACGCTCTCCAACTGCTCATATAGTTGACTCAGGGGTTCTTCACTACCTGGGGTGGTGGTCCGTGCACAAGCAGTTCATGAGTAACAAGCGACCGTCGTGGCGGCGACGGTGGTGTTGAAGGTACCACAAGCAATCAAGAGATCATCACGTGCGCCTGCACGGCTTAGGGTTCTCCACGCATCCGGAGCCACGACGCTGAGATCCGCCCCTTGATTTGTTTTCGGTAACCCGTGGAATAATGAGCTGGAAAAGCAAAACCTAACAATACAAATGTAAGGATCAAAATGACAGTTCTTTAAGGAAAAGATGGCGTCTGGGGGATGTAAAGGATCCTTGATACTAATAACAAGGGCTCCTGAAAATGTCCGAGACAAGGTGAATGAAAGATGGCGCCAGAACAGCTAACGTTAGTCTAATAATACAATAGACGAGGGATAAAGGCATTGCTCGATAATTAAGTCTCTGGTGCTGCTTTTGAGAATAAAGCCGTCATGGGCTCCAGCTGAGGCTCGAAAGGATATTTATACTCATTATTCATTACAAAAGTAAAATTGTCCGAGACCGCATCTATCAAAGACACTACTTGCCCACAAGACATGTGCCGTGTCCAAGCTGCCGAGAGGAAGAGAAGCCAGCCGCCTGTTTGAGATGCTACTGTCGCAATGATATCTACGAGTGGCAGGATTTAACGCTGCCTGTCAAGGAAAACGACTGCATCCCCTTCAGTCAATATGCGGAGGGATGGGTGGTGACGGACAGAGGGCTACATGTGCTGAAGCTGGAAGAACGTGGGCGGGCTCCTGCGTCTTCGGGTTCGAATCCGAGATCGGGAGTTCTTTTTGTCCTTTTCCTTTTCTCCCTTTTTTCAAATTTTTTTTTTCAATATCTTTGTTTTTACCGGTGCACGTAACGTTACAATAATATAATATTTATTACTATAAACGATATTCTTACTCACCTCTGGCACTCACGCAGCCTTGCAGGTGCCGCTAACCCGCTTGCACCCCTTGGGGCAGCTGTACGAGGGGTCAAACTGCCACGAGAAGTACGGGTCTGTCTCGTTTGTCAGGATCTCTCCCAGCAGCCGGGTGGGCTTGGGGAGATCAAAGCTCTGCGCCACAACGTCGAGGGACGAGATGCGGATCTGGCCCCAGCCCTTCTCGATCAGGGTGTCGATGCTGGTCCCGTATATGTACTCCTTGAAGCCGGCCCACCGGATGGCCGAGGCGCACATGGGGCAGCTCTCGGCGTTGGTGTAGAGCGACAAGTCGGCCAGCGCGGCCAGCGCTTGCGCGGGGGAGAGCTTGTAGGGACCGGCCGGGTCCGTGAGGGTGATGGAGCAGTTTGTGATTGCCGCCATCTCGCCTGTTTTTTGGTTTGCCATGGGCGCCCGTCAGCGGCTGTCTGCGTGTGGGGTCCAGATGAGGATGACAACTAGGTAGTGAATTAGTTACCGTGCATGATGGGGTTCCCGGTTTTGCTGTTGGAGTTGGTGCCGGAGCACACAAGCTGTCCAAGACCCGCGTTGGCAGTGTGGTTGACAACCACTGCGCCGAATGCGGCAAACGGGCACGGCGTGTCGAGCGCCAGGGTTGCCTGGCGCATCCAGTACGATCTAGTTGTGGGGGGGATTCCGTTGATGGTGAGGGCTGGCTCGCCGATGGGCACTTGCTTGGCCGCCGCCTCTAGCGACCTGGCGTGGCCCGGATGTGCGCGCCCGAGCGTGAGGATGCTGGCGAAAAGCACAAGGAGTTGAGAAGGTCTCGCCATTGTTCAATGCTTGTTCAGGGGGACTGGATACTGGTTCAATGACGGGGGCGAAGATTTATCCCGTGTTTGTGGGAATCGGCTCAGCTTTTGTAAAACGCCATCGACATCATTGAGCCTTGACCGACTTATAGTAAGTACACCGTACTGTATTTAGTATAATCTCACGGCCCGAGCTGCCCGCGTGGACGAACTAGCGTATGTAGGATAGCAGCAGTATTAGCGTGACACTATTGATCGGATAATTCTTAGCGTGGAGGGATCGTACTCACTCTTCAGATAAACCCAAAGAGCTAGAGATGCGGAAATTCCTCAAATGCATCATCACATTACCCCTCTGGATACCGACGTATGCAGTTGTCCCGCCAAGCATACTTGAAACTCAGTTTAACCATAAGCTTGGTCAACTCTCCTGTGGATAGAGGTGCCCAAGAGGAGCCTTTGAGAAGTTGCTTGTACACTCAATGACGGTCTTGGTAAAGACAAACCCGATTAAAAAGGGTCGAGATAAGACGTCGTTCGTTCCCCCGCTGCGGGGACTCGGGGTGAGTAAAGATAAGATCATCCCATGACCACCTGTTCATCTGTGCGTATCACACTGAGTTGTTCCAAGCC